TAACTACATATGCTTCAGTATATATAATAATTCCCAACCATGCCCAGATTTCAATTTAAAAATACACACCTGTGGAGTGTTGAGCGACTATGTTAATGCATGTAGCTGCTCTCTAATAAATAAGGTTAAGCGTGTAAAATACTTAGGGGTCATGCTGGACCAAAGGCTATCTTGGTATCCGCAAATAGAACAAATTACATCGCGTATACGCAAATTTATCTGGATTTTTAAATCTTTAAGATATATAGCCCCAAAAGACGTAACTAGTAGCACACATTGTTCTAAAAACCTCTTAAACGAAATTTATATCTCTTTAGTTCAATCGATAATAACATATTGTATCCCTATCTGGGGTGGTGCACTTAAAACACGGTTTTTAGAGGTAGAGAGATCACAACGTACTTTGCTGAAAGTTATGTATTTAAAAAAACGGTCATTTTCAACTCAAAACCTATACCAAATTTGTAACCTACTAACAGTACGTGAATGATATATACTCAAGACGATTTTAAAAAAACACAAATCGCTTGTTTGCACTCCTTGCATAGTGGGTAGGAGAAGACAGAAAAATGTAGTACCCATCCCTCACAGAAAAACACAATTTGCGATAATGCAATTTGAATCACGTTCCGCCTCCCTATACAATGAAATAAATAAAATCACACAAGTCTACGGCAAAACTTTTCATGAGTGTAACCTATAGTAACAAGTAGGCTTAAAAATCTAAGTTACGAGGAAACAGAAAGCCTTATGAATAATAAGGGTTAAAAATTAATTAATAAATATATACATAAAAATATTATAAATCTTACATAAACATACGTCGAAATAACATAACATACACGATATATATATATATATATATATTCCACCCATACATATACATAAAAATATGGTGAGCTTACACACTGTATACAAAAATATTGAAACAGCATGATTGTATTATTTAGTGATAGGAAAATGTTAAAATTTAAATAGTTTATAGTTAAACAGTTAATAAAATATATTTTGGAATATATTTGGAATGCACTTCCTTTGAATATCCGGAATGTGTCAAACAGTTTCGTATTTAAGAGAAAAGTACGAGAATATTATCTCCAATCAATTCGTGTGTCCTAGTCTTCATTTATCAGTATGTCTATATATATATATGTATGTTTATGTATTTTTTATATAAGATTATAGTGTGTATGTATATATTTGTATTTTATATATAATTTGTTGGTATTATTAGTTATAAATTGTAACTTTGTTCTTTTAATGAAACCGCCTTTTGAATGCTCTGTACACCTTCACCGGTTTGACTGGTAGAGAATGCCTTTTTGGCATTAAGTCCGCCATTGCTATGTTATAGGCATAAAGATTAAATAAATAAATATTTCAACACACCAATTGTCTAGCCCGAACTTATGTATCATTAAGAACTTGTTAATAAATGGTAGATGCTAGACAACGGATAGTGAATTAAACTAATAACTTTAGTGTGATGCTTAAAGACAACTGTTAACTCTTTATGAGGGAGCGAAGTCTCCTGGCACAGGCATCAGTATGCTTAAAAGGAGGCTTCAACAACTAATATGTAACTGTATCATTTTGTATCCAATAAAGATTTTTATATTTTTTATATATATTTTTTTTATTTTATTTAATTAAATAATGGCGGACAGATCCGCTCTTTCACCCATAAGGCCAATATCGCTTGCGCTTAAGTTAACGTAAAAATCTCACCCGCTTCATCAATGGAACGTCTGTCTCGTTTGCGCACGTTACATTTTTGTTGTCTGTCGCATATTGCTGCGATGTTGCCAGCGGGGACTAGACCGGCCGTTGCTAAGTTATGATTTTTCGTGTATTGTTAAATAATGAAAATTCTCGAAGATTCATTTTTTGTATACGCTGCTCTGATGGCGAGTTTTATTACTTTTATAATTATTGAGTAAATGGTGGGTTTTATAAGAAAAATAAATATATATTATTAACGCAAGATTGATAAAAATGCAATAAATTCATGTTAATTTATTTATGATTCTTAATTCAAAATGTTTAAAAAATCCACTTGGTCCCTGGCACCCTGAAATGGGACTCGAACCCATGACCTTTTGTAATCCGGGCGATATTTGTATTAAGAATAATTTTCAGTATATCATTGTGAATGCGAAATTAATCAAATATAATAATTTACTTATTATGTATAATAGTTTTATACACTGAGAAAAACAAATCAATTGTGTTAAAAATAAAGTGTATTTAAAATACATAATACAAAATTGATTAGTCAATTCCATATGAAACCATTTTTCAGTTTCACAGTTTTATATAAAGCAATACTTAAATAAAAAAATATTGAATTCAAAAACGAAATCCACAACAATTTTTTATTTTCATAATATTAGTACAATTTTACAATTCTCAACGTTAAAAAATAATAAGGGTTATTTATTGTATTAATTTGAATTTACTATTAATAAGAATAATGTTTATATAATGTTTAATTGCATAGGTGTGGGTATAATTTTTACTGTGTTATAATCAGTGGTCGGAATTAGGTAGAGTTATTCATGTACTTACACTGATTTCATACAGCGAAAGAATAAAGTGGATATGCCTCAAATCCCGAGATTAATTTTAAAGAGCAGAAAAAGTCCCGTGATTTTTTAAATAAAAAGTTATTTACTTTTACACAATTTAAACTACAGCACGCACGACGTTGCCAAACTTACATCAATGACATCGGATGTCCAAAGTTGCAAAATTTGTATTGTAAATTAATGTAAACTAAAAAAAAATTATGTAAATTATCTTTGTTTTGTTTGTCTATCTCTGACGTTGTTATTATTATTTAGTTGTTAGATTGTTGGCCACACGAGATTGTCCATTAGAAATCCGGGGAAGGTCCACATTAATATCGACGCAAGAAAACAAAAAGGTCGTAACTGACAAAAATGGAATTGTTCAGGAGAGCCAAAAAATTATTTAATAAACTAGAAAAAAAATCATAACTTTCGTTCTACCCGCCCTAGGACAACGATATTTAGACAGCAAATTTGAAAAATATAACCGGTTATATTAATTCAGTTAAATTCAACCTAAAATGGCTTTTAAACGTGGTTTATGTGGGTTACACCCTTTAGTGTATTTTTTCAGGCATCAAGAAGGTTGTAACGATGGCAATACTGATTTAAGTCCTGCATTCTCCACACTACAAGAAAACAACATTGTATTAAAAGTGAACAGAAAAAGAATTTAAGTCAAAAGAAATAGGCTTAAACACTAATGTAAAACAATATTGAAATTATTGGAAAGGTTTATTTAGGAACAAAACAATCATCGTCTTCTACGTCAGTATCAGGCAAACAGTCAGCTTTCTTGCTACTGACTTTTAACTTCAAATACTCATCCGCAAATCTTCTGGGAATAGCTTGTTTCTCTACCAATTTTTTCAAATCAGTATATTTCTGGGTACTGATTAATATTTTAGAGGAGTATAATGGACTTTTTTTTTTGAATGTGACGATCGAAATTTTGGAAATTTGTAATTTCTTTTTTTTTTAAGTATGATCGACAATGTTATCGAATCCCAAAAAATTTGAGCAATCCATTACGGTTACTTGGTAGGGTTCTGGGTTTTTTCGTGCCATTTCTATAATCGTGGGCCATTGCGAAGGTATAGTCTTTCTTACAGAAGATTCAATAGTTGCGTGCATTGAATCGACTGGCATATATGTATGGCCCGGAATCAAATAATTAATTTGAATCACCTCGAGATTCTTGCTGTGGCTTAATACATATCGCAGCATGACCAGAACAGTTTTGTTCTTGTTTTGACCATAAGCAGAATCACAATAAAATATAATTTTGTTTACTTTTTCGCGCTCATCCACACTTTTAATATTTTAATTTTCATCATCATCATCAGCCCTTTTACGTCCCCACCGCAGGGGCTCAGGCCTTCCTTATGAATGGCTAAGGAGTATGGGCCATGACCCTCCACGCCGGCCCAATGCGGATTGGAGGGTATTGACGACTGCAAATGCAGCCGGGACCAACGGCTTAACGTGCCTTCCGAAGCACGGAGTAGCTCGAGATAATAATTTTTTGGTCACCCATCCCGTGACCGACCCTTGCGAAAGTTGCTTAACAACAACGATCGGGGCCGCGGCGCTTATCCACTACGCCACCGAGCTACTCAAATTTTACTAATACTAATACTACTAATACTAATTTTATACTATTATACTAATACTAATTTTAATTTTAATATTAAAATATTAAAAGTGTGGATGGATGATGGATGAATAATTTTAATATTATACAGACATGTGGCTATCTCATTAGTTCCTCTATAAGCATCAGTTTCTGTCCATACATAAGAAAAGCCCTTTTGAGTACCACTTTCATAAATTGTGAAGTTATATACAGCAATCTTGCGACTGTAATATAACAGCATGCTTTTCCCGTGTGGCGTATTCAAAACTTTTTATAGATCAAAGTTTGCGCATATAACATTTATGTTCTTAGTATTTAAACTTTGATGAAATTTAAATCGTTTGTATGATTCATTTTTTTCTTCTTCGTGTATTTTCAATTTTTCAGTCTCATCTTCATTAAGAACATCAAAAGTTTTAGCTGAAAGACACAAGCTACACTTGTCTTTTTTGGGGACATGAAATCCGATATTAAATGTTTTTTTGAACCACACTGAAAAAACTTTGAAAGACATAATCTTTCTTTCATCTTGAAAATGATTTTGATAAATGCGATATAAGTTTGAGATGTTTTTAAATTCATTAGGCAAATATAATTTTTTTGAGTCTCTTCTACAATAGTGGGAAGGTAGCAGAGGTAAAGAAAGAACAAATTCTTTTCCGTCCTTCAGTACATCATCAGATGTTTTATTATGATGTCCTGATTTCCCTCGCATATCCTCTTTTGCAAATCCATCAATTGTTGAAGCCACTGTATATAAAATAAACTTCTGTGTAATATATCAATAATCTAATCTAATCTAATCTATAATAATCTAATGTATTAATCAGAAATTTCTGACAAACTCGTCGTCTCCCTTCATTTTCATTAATATAATACTCGTAAGCACACGATCTATTCAATGACGTGTTTTTGTCTGGCCTTTTTACTCGTTTTTTTATAGTACTTTGAGCTACCCAGTCTTTGCGCCGTTGATGGATACCTAGATCCCAAAAATATTTGAATAGTTTTTCACGGCGGTCGTCAGGAATACTTTCACAATTGTTAGGACACTTCTTACCAATACATGGATTGGGCTTCATACGTTTACCTTCAACAACTTCTCCATCTTTATTAACATAAGTTTCTCCTCTCTTCTTTTTAGCAGAATTTTCTCCACTAACCTTAGCTTTGCTTTTCCTTTTCAATGCTTGAATTTTCATAATGTCTTCCGCATTTTTTTTCTCTTTTTTTGTATCTTTGGATAACTTCTTCGAAGTCCTTTTCTTCTTTCTATTTTTTCTCTTTTTGTTTTCCCTACAAGTTAAATTGTATTAGGTATGTATTTATTAGTAGGTACTAAAAATATTTTGACCACAATCATAACACAAATAAAGTCACACACTCACATTCACACACACACATACACACACACACACACACACACACACACACTCACACACAGGCGCGCACACACACACACACACACACACGCACACACACACACACACACACTCACAAACACACACAGCCACCGATCACCCAAACAAACACTATAATTATACAAAAAAAAAACCAAATACCTTCATATGTGCTTGAAGTAGATTCCCTTGATATTTCAAAGCTGGAGCTTTCGGAAGGAAATGTTTCTTTTAATAATAGTGTGTCCGGGTCATCATCAACGAAATCAAGATAAGATTGATTAAAGCTCAATTTCCGTTTAGATTTTCTCACCTTCTTCTTTTTTTTTTTTCGCTTCTGTATCGGACTCTGATTGTACGCAGTCAGAATTAATTTAATTAGAAATTATGTCATTACTTACGTCTTCATTTTCACCAGCAATTGAATTACTAGGCAAGTTTGACGGTGAATTAATTTGCTCTTCGCTTAACATATCTGGATTACACTCTCCTGCATCAGAACTAGATTGCACCGTAGCAAATAACGGTGAACCCAATGTTTTCAATGGAAGTAGTGCCGAATCTGAATGTTCCATTGCAAGTAGCGCTAAATCAGAATCTTCCAAAGCAACTAGTACTGAATCAGAATGTTCCATAGCAAGTGAGGCTGAATCTGACTGTTCAACAGCAATTAAAACATCACTGGACTGTAGCGCAGCAGGCGATAGTAAGTCAGTCTGGTCTGGATTCTGTAAGGATTGTTTTGTAGTAGGCAATTCTGGATCGAAGTGTTCAACTGCAACGTTATTAGAGCATTTCTTGTTATTAACTTCCTCATCAGAACCAATATCGGTGTATGTTTCGACAACCACATTGATATCAAAAGCTGTATAATTGCCCATATTATACAGATTATTTGTAGATTCTACAGTTTGCGTATTAAAATTTTCCACTTTATGTGTAGGTTCATTGACATCATTTTCTGTACTTTGATCTTGTAAATCCGTGTGTATATTAATTATTGAGTCACAAAGAGCACTAGTAGATGGAATATCAGAAGGCAAGTGGTTGTAGTAAGCAGGACCATTTTTTTCATAATTTGAAATGGGCGAAATTTTTTTCATTACTTGTTCTGATGCCTCAATATATTTCTTGGGATTTCTAAATGTTGGAGTTAAATTTTTAAGTTTATGTTTATATTGGTGAGGAGTCCTTTCCGTCTCTATTTTATTATGTGGGTTTAGTGAAACACATATTCGTTGGTTTACATTTTCTTCTTCATTTATTTTGATTTCAGTGGTAAGAGATTTTTTTATTAGTTTAGCTGCATCTTGCGACCCTTGGTCGTGCAAGCTGACCAGATGGCCACAGATAGGGTGTAGGTTCGAATAATGCAAATTTATTAGAAAAAAAATACATTTATTTCCAATTATTTTTGTGTGGCCGCCTTACACTTCGATTGAGATAAGGTAGGAAAGAACACTGGCCTGATTTCCTCGTCTTCTCCGGTATACTTGAGATCACGGTCCTCCAATTCTCGTTCAGAAAAAATAACTCATTATCGTTTATACGTAATAGTCATGTGTACTAGTACAGTAGTTTCGTTTTCCCTTTTAATAATTTTTATATATAGCTGCAGCTAATTTCACCAAACTGGTGACATCCTCGGATGGTTTATATAAGGTACGTAGTTCCCTAGTGGGAAATATCGTAAAAATTTGTTTAGTAATTTGGAGCGATTGATGCAGCCATCACGTCCAACGTCTAAAATTAGTATGTCCGCGAGCGGTCGCCGGCGCTCCTCCACCGAAACAATGACATAGCAAAAAAACTCAACATTCAAGTGATGTGCATCAACATTAGAGACGTAACCTTCGTCGCTTGCATTTAATGTTTATAACCAACTCAATTTATTTACTTTATTATTCTTTATAATTGAAATTTTTGTTTAGATAAGTGTCTGTCTCATTATTCACTGTATTGTAAATAACGCTTTTAATTTCTTATATTTTGATGTTTATTTTAATTTTTATTCTTATTATTTATTCTTAAAATACAACGTTACAGTACTCCGCCGCAAAGAGAAGGATTTTGCGTAAGAACTTATTAGCAAAATCCATCTAATGCCAGCAACTATCACTTACTATTTTCTCATTCATTCATTCTTCCATACTTCACACTTTCTCTAAATCCGAAACATGCTGTCATCAGTCTGTATAATTCAGAATATGAGACCCTATCATGACTGAGAACAATTGATAGACTAATGTTTTAATTGTGCTCAAATAGCAAGCCTACTGTATTAACCCTACTATTTCAATAAATACGCTAGAATTAAAATAATTAATGTTTAAGACTCAATTGTGCAAGCACTTTATTATTGTTTGGTAAGTAGCATTAAACTTTATAGTTAATGAGTTTAATATCTTTGATATGATAAGAACCTAGTGGTTTTCCAGACATATCGGCCAGCTCATAGACAATAGGAGATTTCTTACTGATAACTTTACATTTTATGAATTTCGGTGCTAGTTTTTATTAAAATATTTATCTTTATCACTTTGATAAAATGTCCTTCTCCACACTACATCACCAACATTAAACTCAGTAGGTTTCCTTCGTAGATTATATTGATGGCAATTCCTACTGTGAGCCTGAAGCAACAATACTTGAACCTTGCTAAATATGCTAGACAATATGCCCAAGTTTTCAGCATAAGAATCGCGAGGTTAGAAAATAAGATTGTCATCGTTCTCACTGTCGACATAATGAGAGCCACAAGTGACCAATTCTCGGCCGTATACCAGAAAGGAAGGAGTGTAACCCGTCACCTCATTTACGGAGTTATTTACAGCGAATTGAATTTTCGGCACAAGCAAATCCCATACTCGCTGATCATTAGATGAATGTTGATAAAGCAGTCATAATAGTCTTGTTATCCCTTTCAACCGTATTGACATAAGGAGAATAACTAGGAGTATAATGTAATTTAGGAACTTTGTATTTCTCGAACATTTGTTTCAGCGTTGCACTAACAAACTGTCTGCCATTATCGAGAATCACAGTAGAAGGTATACCATGTACAAGAAACACATCCTCTTCCAGAATCCTAGTCACTATTTCAGCGGTAGCTCGTTTTATCGGAAATAGTAAACAATACTTACTAAAGCAGCACGTCACAACAAAAATATATGAATTTTGCTTCCTAGTAGTTGGTAAGGGTCCTACCAAATCGACACTAATAGTTTGAAAGGGCCTAAAACAATGTTTGGGTCTTCCCATTTCACCCAACGGAGCGTGGTTTTGGTGTTTATATGAGATGCAAGTATCACATGACGTTATGAATTTCACAACATCGGCATGCATACCTGGCCAATAATATCGAAGAGATAGACGTTTATAGGTCTTAAAAATTCCAAAATGACCAGCAGTTGGAACGGAATGATTTTCCGAGATTACCCTTTGCCTAGTCTCAGAGGGTAACACTTCCTTCCATTCAAACTCTTTCTGCAAAGGATGTTTAGATTGCATAAAACGAAATAATAGCCCATTTTTAACCATTTAATTGGGAAAGGATGCAGGAGAGTTCTGACATCCATATTATACTCTTTATTGCACTTAAAATTTTACATAAAACAAGTAAATAAATTTGTTACAAAGGTGGGCTTATCTCTAGAAGAGATCTCTTCCAGCCATCCTAGGAGTCGTGGGAGAGTAAGATGTAAGAGGGTGATAGAAGTGCAGTTAAATTATATTACGGTTGGAAAAAAAATATATATATATAATAAATAACAAAAATAGATATATATATAATACATAAAATATACTATTCGCTCCTTCAAAAGTTTCATCGTTGAAGTCCTCAACAACTTACAGCGACAGCTGGAGGTTCTGGCGCACAATGGTGATCGGTTGGAAATGAGAAGTCGCCGTAAAATGGTATTGCTGCATGGTGTGCCTGAGAGTGAGTCAGAGGATACAGCTCAGATTGTGGTGCAGGTTGTGAATAACAAGTTTAATCACAGCACTTTCAAACTGAGTGACATTAAGCGCTGCCAGAGAATGGGACAGTCAGCTGGTGCTCACAAACCTAGACCCATCATCGTCAAATTTCACGACGTCATGCTCCGGGACAAGCTGTGGTTTGACAAAACGAAGCTCAAAGGAACCGGCATCACTCTCTCGGAATTCCTTACGCGAACGCGTCATGTTACATTTATGGCAGCACGAGAGCGCTTTGGCTTGAACAAATGTTGGACCAGGGAAGGATATATATATATTCTCGGATCAAATAACTCAAAGCATCGCATATCCACCATGAGCGAACTCCTTAAAATCGAGCAAGCATTGTCGAAGCCGGCTGCTGTTACACCGAAGTTACTACCGAAGGCTAGACGGGTAGCAACAAAGAAATAGGTTTCTTTTGTTGTATTTTTAAGTAACAAACTGTCACCATCACTATGAAGGTACATACTTAATTATTTTTCTACTTTTGTTATTAAAATTATCACAGAAATTGCAATAGCGTCAACAAAGTCAATGTCACTATGTCAATGTCAAATCACCTGTTAACGTCACTCACATGGTTTTGTTGTCCTTAAGCGCAAGGGGAATCATGCACATGCAGCCTTTTAAATGAAATGAATATATAAATAACATTGAGATGTTCCATCTTGCGCATACGATGTGCTGTATGTACCTTTCTTATTATTGTCCTTGTTTTATTATTATTATTTTTGTTTGCTTTGTTCGTATAAATCAATTCTGTGGTGTTGTATTGTAATTTATTTTATTTTAACTGTTATACTTTTTGAGTCAGCAACCATACTAGGGCAACTCACACATTACATAATTTATATACCTGATTAGAAATGTTGCACTGGTACTGGTTGTTCATTAGCACCGTGATTGTTTTTTCAACTTTTGTTTAGAACATTATTTTGATCTTCTACATGCAACTGGCAGATGGAAGTTGTGGATTTAAATAAACCCATTTTTAGTATTTAAATATTGTGTATAGGTTGATATATACATATTGTTAGAATTTAATGCAAATTGGACTGTAACCCAAAAGGTATTGAAAGGAAAAGAAATGGGTGTATGATCCTGTCCAACTTTCGGCGAGCAAATAACAAAACCTCACCCACCTTGATTCCAAACTGTCAGACACGTAACTCCGATGGTAGCTCGGCTTGGCGGGTACACACGGTGCTCAGCTTTGGTAGCTCACTGCTGGACAAGTCTATACATGGATATGCTATGACCACGGGTCTAGACACTATATGGGTGGTGGAACGTCCACAACTAGTTCACACACGACGCGGTACACAAACGTTGTGTTCTCTTCAGCGCGCAGCAAGCTAGTGTCGTTGTAGAAATTTTCAATGGGCGAAGTAAAAGTTAATCTACCCACCAATAATTGGACAATAACTGAACATACCCCCCACCGAAATCAATGTGATGATTTCCAATAGATATGGAAGATTTGGTATAAAAATAGAAAATTACATTATTTACTAATTATAGAATGTTATATTATAGATATTTATATTACTTATATGTATACTATTGTTTTTTTTTTTTTTTTAGTTTTTATTTATTGATTGTTTATTTTTAATCTATTTGAGGCAAGGGGCAAATTTTATTAACTGGTCTCTTGACAAGGCCATTGGGGGTTCTAATAGTTAATACTCTAACAACCTTATCAATTCCAGGATGGACCGCTTCTATTCTACCACGAGGCCATTGTAATGGCCGAGTTAAATTGCTCTTAAGTAACACTAAATCTCCTACCTTGACATTAGGAGGAGATGTGTGCCACTTCTCCCTTTGTTGTAATGTGTGGAGGTAGTCATCGGACCAACGTCTCCAAAATGATTGCGTTGCCTTCTGTATGGATTGCCAACGGGACAATCTATGCAGAGGCACTTCCTCAACATTATATTCCGGAACGGAAAGTAAATTTTGTCCGATAAGAAAGTGACCGGCAGTTAAAATATCAAATTCGTTTGGATCATTTGATATCGAGCACAGGGGCCGAGAATTCATAATTGCTTCTACTTTACAGAAAATGGTTGACAATTCTTCATATGTCAAAGAACGATCCCCTACAGTGCGGTATAAA